CAGGCACGGGGGTGGGGGGACAGAGACTCACCTCTGTCTTCCCCAGGCAGGGCTTGGGGCTCAGCGGACGCCCCATCCAGGTCCCTGGAGGGAACTAAGTGAACTTCCTTCCCCTCTGGGCTGAGAGACTCCGTGTCTCCTGGACTCCAGAACACAAAGGGCAATTCGTCTTCTTCCGACAGATCCCTGCTCCAGGACATGAGAACCGGGACCCCTTCGTTTCCACCTTTTCACATGTTTCTCTTTTTAGTAGAGTTTGTTTGCTTCATAAAACTGGATGGAAAAAAATGAGGGCGTTGGGTCCACATCCCCTGGGGTCCAACTCTGTCTCTGCCACTTTCTCACTGTGTGGCCTTGGACAGGCGACTCAGCGTCTCTGAACTCAGCTTCCTCGTTTCTAACACAATGTCATGCTCTGAGTGTTGCCATAAACATTAGGTGAGCCCATCAAGTCCAGACGTCCCGTGTGTCTGTTGGTGCATGCACACACACACACACACACACACACACACACACACACGGCCGTGACCTCCGTGCCCGCTGCCCGGGTTGTGCCTATGGGGCCCTCACCGCAGGGCCGTGCAGCGCTGCTGGGGCTGGCAGGAGCTGGCTGGTTGGTGACCCCCATCGCTGTGGTCGCACTCGCACCAGGGTCAGCTGGCCCGTGGCCCAGCCCTCAGGCGCAGCGGCTTCCTCCCAGCCCTTCGGAGGCTGTGCCTGTGGAGGTTCCGCAGTTCTGAGGGATGGCTGCTTTTCTCCCAGGGAGGCGCCGCGGACAAGGTCTCAGGAAGTCACGGGAATGGTCAGTGGGGAGGCTCGGGGCCTCTCCTGGAGCCCGCTGTTGCTGCTGCTGCTGCTGCAGCAGCTCCGGCTCTGGCCACAGGTGACCTCCGACCCGGTTTAAGGCTCCGGGAGTCCACCCGCAGGCACGACAGGAAACTGGCCCAAAGTGCAGCCGGCCTCGGACAGTGGAAATGACTAAGCCCCTGAGATCGTCATCAAGGAGATGGGCCCCAGCCTCTACTACACAGACCCCACTGTGGAGGGGGGAAGGGAGGGCATGGAGCCAAGTCTCCACGGCATTCTGCTACCAGGGAGTTCTCGGAATGTCTTCCCTGAAGGACCCCGGAGGAGCGGGGGGAACCGGCCATCTGCACTCACAGGTCCTCCGTCCCAGGTCGTTCACCCCACGAGCCCTGCAGGGGCCTGGGGCGCTGCTCCATCGAGGCACCTGGCGCAACTGGGTAATTCAAGCTACGCCGCCACCACCACCACCGTCATCGTCAGCAAGCAAACTGCTACGGGGTAAAGAAGCTTCTCTGCCAAGTCAGAGACAAACCACAAACTCCCCTGACGCCTTCCTTTCCTCTTCCAGAAATTTACACTACTTTACTGGAAATGTAGCAAAAGTTTGGACAAGTGTTTATGTATACATCCCAATTTTGGTTCAGCATTTTATAAACCCTTTGAGACTATCTGGTTCAATGGTGACTACTTTCTAGTATTAATAAGTATAGTTTTGATTATAGATATGAAGCCTGGATGACACTTGAGCATATTTCTTAATCTTAAAACATGTAACATTGTCCCAGAATCTCTTGGGCCAAGTTGGGGAAGACGTTAAAATACTCCATCTTGGAAGCATGGAAGAGTCGTCCAGGGATGGGGTGACTGGGTGAAGATCACCCAGCAAGCAATACTTGTCTCCATGAAGAGCATTTTAGAAACATTTTATTTATTTCTTAAAAGGTTTTATATATTTATTTCTAGAGAGAGGGGGAGGGAGGGAGAAAGAGGAAGAGAAACATCGATGTGTGAGAGATGCATCTATTGGCCACCTCTCGCACGCCCCCAACTGAGGACCTGGCCTGCAACCCAGGCTTGTGCCCTGACTGGGAATCAAACCGGCAACCTTTTGGTTTGCGGGCTGGTGCTCAATCCACTGAGCCACACCAGCCAGGACCCGAAACATTTTCAAAATGAAAACCAGAACAATGGAGCATTTACTCCTGTGCCCAGTCTCACAACCAGTTACCATACAATATTCTGAAGAGAAATTCGGAAATACAGTTTCTGCTGTTTCCTCTCCATCCCCAGGGGACCCACCTGGTCTGAGGTTCCGGAATATTCCAGGAAGGAGGCTGCTTCTGGTGGGTCCTGTAGGTTGATGTGAAGTTGGGTTCCCTGTGCGCTGGTTTCAGCACCCTCCCCTGTATAAGACCCAGGTTTGGGGGCAATGGCCAGTGCCCAGACCCCCCAGGCCTGCCCCACCTGCTCACAGACGCTCAATGGGTGCGAGATGCAGGATTCAAAAGACAGGAGTTACCTTCTAGGAGCGCCAAAGCCAGCAAACGACCTCTGCAGAGCAGAGTGGGGAGGACTTGACCCATCGGAAGGTGGGGTGGGCCAGAACCAGTGTCCTTGGCGGGCGGAGCAGCAGTCTGGCCCCTTGGGCTGGAGGGATGCGGAGTGCGGGGGAGGGCCGCATGCTGGGAACAGGGAATGCCAGCACATGAGGGGGAAAGGCTGCCCTTACAGAGAGCCGAGTCATCCAGTGTCCTCCTTGCCTGGGAGACCGTGATGCCGGGCTGGGAGAAGACGTGAAGGTGGCCTGGCTTTTTCCACAGACTTACAAGACGTTACTGGTGCATGTTTCAGTCAACTGCGTTTTCCTGTAAGCCCAGGGGGTTCCTTGTTCTCCCTCCATCTGGTTCTGCGCAGAAGTGATTCAGTACCTAAATGTGTACAGCCCTTTGTAGAAACCCCAAACCAGGGGTGGTTGTTAGTTTACAATTTCTTACCAGCCTCTGGATGAGCCGAGGGGGTGCGCACCCCTTGGAAAGTGGCCGTGAAGAATGAGACCGGTTCCACCAGTCACACAGGACAGGACGGGCCCTCTCCTGCCCGCCACCCTGGCCACAGCCAGTGTGCACGCATGCACGTGCTGGAGTAGAGGGAGACGGGGAGCCGAGGTATCTGGCGACCCCTGGTAGGCTGGCAAGGGAGCCGGCAGGGCTGGAGTCCTTCAGCTGCAGATCAGGAAATAACCAGAGGCTTGCTCCAGTAAGAGGAGGTTTCTGGGCAAGGGAGAGCCACGCCCCCAACCTTGCAGGGACTGTGGGATGAAGGGAGAGCCAGTGTTTAATGACCAGGTGGCTTGCGGAAAGCTCAGAGGATCGTTTTAGTTCCACTTTCTACAATCAGACCTGCCTGGCAAGGGCTGGTTCTCCCCTGCTCGGCTCACCTGGGCGATGCAATGAGTTCAGCTCCCCGCCAGCTTCCTGTTCTGTTTCTCACAGAGGGTGCTTGGTCCAGCTGTCTCCCCATTCTTTCCTTTTGCTCAAAAGAAAATCAGGGCCCTCGAAACTTCTTTCACCCTCCTGCTGCCACCCTCTGTCCCACAATTTCAAACTCTCTCACCTCCTGGCCTCCAGCCTTCAGGCAAGGAACACCCTCTGCTGTGGGGGCCTGCCCCCTCCCCCCTGCCATGCTCTAGCCTGACTACACCCTTCTCCTGGACCCTGGGGTCACCCCCTAGCTGGGCTTTCTTCCCCCTGCACTTCTTTCAACCCAGCCTCCTCTACCTGCTGCGGGGAGTGATCTTTTTGTAAAGTGCAATTCTTTCACTCTGTGCTTCCAACAGTGTATGGCTTCTCTCTGTCAGTGAGTCAGTCTACTACCCCGTCTTCCAGTGGCAGCCTCCAGCCCACCTCTGACCACCCCCAGCCCTCACACCACCCCCTTGCACTCTGCCTCAGGGGTAGGGAGCTACACACAGGCCTCAGGGCCTTTGCACACGCACAAGCATGCACACACACCTCTGCCTATGTCATCACACCAACCTCTCCTTTTTAGAAGGTACCTCACTCCCTGTCTTTAGTACTTGGTATCCAGGGCAGAGCCATCACAGACCTATGGTTCTCTCGAAGCTGTTCCAGGGATTTTGCATAACAGGTGGCAATAAATGCCACTAGCCTGGGAACCAGATTTAGATCCTAATCTCAGAGCTGCCCATCACATCTGCCCGACTTGCCTGTCTTCTTCAAACCCCCCCACCCCACCGCCGGGTTCTAAGGCATCCTGTGCAGTGGCCTGGAGGGGCCGAGGAGGAACCAGGGAGCACCCCTGGGCTGCTGGGGCACAGCCAGAATCACCACTGGGCTTACTCATGAGACAGGCCCATCGGCAGACTCTGGCCAGGTAACGAAAGGCTAAATGTCAGATCTAGCCAACCCAATTCAAGGTCAAATCCCCTTAATACAGCTGCAGAAAGTATCAGTGAATCACTTTTATGATTTAGGCCTCGGAGAACTTTAGGCTAGGATTTTGTGGCATTTCCTAATGATGATGCCTGACTGCAAGGTGAGGGGCGCAGGGCGGGGCTGCCAGACCGTGGAGTGCCTGCACGCTTCTTAACAGATAACACATCCGGGCGCAGATGACGAGTCTCCAGGCCCTCCTGACTCGGGTGCGAGTCCTGGATTCCCAGGGACTTTCCACCTATGTCAAACCCAGACACTGTCATGGTGGAGGACACCTGGCGATGCTAGAAATTACCTTTCCACATGCACAGGCTCAAATAGGCGTGCACACACATGCACGTGCACGCGCACACGCGCAGGGAAGCCGAGTCACCAGCCCCACAGCATCCCTGGAATCCAGCTAATTGGAAAGTCCCGCGCACCGCGCTGCCGCGTTGCGTCGCCACGCCAGGAGCATGTCAGCGCTGGAGAAAGCCGCGCCTGGCTTCCCGAACAGGGCCACCGCTCTGCGGTTGCCCGCGGGAAGGGGCGGGTGGCGCGCGCGTGTGGCCAAACCAAAGCCCAGAGCGGTGGCGGGGGCGGTGCCCACAAGGGTTGGAAGCGCGGGGCCTTTAAGGGGGCGGGGATGGCGCTGGCGCCCGCGACCTAGGCCCCTCCCCCTCGGCCCCGGCCCCGCCCCGCCCCACGGCCCCGCCCCCCAGCCGGAGTCTCTCCGGCCACTGCTGGGCAGCAGGCGGAACGAAGGGGGCGGCGCGCGCAGGAGGAAGCGCGCCGGGCTGCGGCCCCGGGAACTACACCGACGCCGAGTCGGGAACGCCGGTCTCCGCGTCACCATTGCCAGGTGCGCGGGGTTGGGGCGCAGTCCCGGACTGTGGCCGCCGTGCGCGGGCCGGCTTTTCCGCCAGCTCGCCCCGCCTGGTCTCCCGGCTCCCGGCTCCCGGCTGCCGGCTCGGAGCCCCGCGCCCAGGGCCCCAGGCCCGCGCCGCCGGCAGCCCAGATCCAGCCCGCTGCGCCCCTCCACGCCCCCCGCCGGCCTCTGGCTGATGTCCTGAGCTCGCCACCGCGGGCTACGCGCCCCGCCAGGGGCTGCCCTGGGAAGTTGTGGGGCGAGGCGCGCCGGGTATGCGCCATCACCATGTCCCGCCCGGACTCGTGGTTCGGTGAAGTCCAGTGGCTGGTCTTGGTGTCGCTTTTCGTTGTGGCCTTGGGCACGGTGGGCCTGTACTTGGCGCAGTGGGCGCTGGCCAGGGCGCGATCGCGGTCCCCGCGGCGGGCGGCGGAGCCTGGCGAGGACCGGCGCCCGGAGTCGGACGTGCTGCTCTCCTGGATTCTGACGCTGAACAGCTGGAGGAGCCAGTGGCAGGCCGCCTGGGTGGCCGCCCTGAATCAGGAGGCCGGACGGAAGGGGGTGAGTTTCTGTGAGGGCGGCGGTGGTGCCGCGGGTGGGGTGCGGCGCTCGGCGGGGTGCGGGCTGTCAGCGCTCAGCCTCCTCTGGAGCCTCACGCAGCCCTCGACTGATCCTCAGTGAGCCCTGCCCGGGGACGGCATCCTTGAAAGTTAGGAGAAAGACCCTGGGGAGTCAAGACGAAGTGACAAGACCCTATCCACCACACATGAGGTGTGTCAGGCACTGGCTGTTGGAGAGACGCGTCCGAGGGGCCCATTCCCTTCCGGGTCCCCTCCGCCCTCCCAGAGTCCCAGGTGGATTCCGGCTCCTGGCTGGACACTTTCTGCTTTCGCACCTGATGTATGAATGACTGGGACCCGAATGCGCTCCCATCAGTAGGGCTGTATCCCACCGAGAATGCATTTCTCCAAGGTGTGCTTGCGTTTCCTGGCGTATGAAGTGGGTGGCCATTTGTCGAGAGCCAGCCGCTTGCCAGACATTGTGTTGAGGGTTCTTGGCGCACTCATGGGAATCCTCACAACTCCTGGGACTGTCCACACTTCCCAGGCGAGGAATAGAGGTCTGGAGAGGTTAGGTGACCCGCCCAAGGTCATGCAGCCCGCGCTGGGCAGAGCGGGGATTGGAATCCAGCTACCTCCCGCCCCAAACGAAGCTCAGGGGCCTGTGACCTAACCCATGCCCTGATGCCGCACATTCCTGTGGTTTTGTTTCTTCCGGAATTAATGACAGGGCGACTTATTTTTACTTTTAAGATATCTTAGTCTGATGACAAACTCCTGGTGTCTCCTAGTTCCGGGCAGGAATGGGGGCCTGGTGGGAGTGCGGGGATGGCCTCCCAGCCTTTGTGGGCCCTCCTTGCTCTCAGATCCTGCCCAGGTGTGAGCTGGTGTGTGTGTGTGTGTGTGTGTGTGTGTGTGTGGAGGGGGGGCGGGGCAAAGCCTGTGCCACTGGCAGCGGGAACAGCGAATGCGGTGTGCCTGGGCCCACCAGCCTTCGGAGTGTCCCCGCGTGGCCCTGTGCCTGGACTCTGGGCCACGGCCTTGACTCACACGGCCGTGGGTTTGAAAAACAAAGCGGTACGTACACATGAAAAATAAATGCTTCGAGGTCAGTTGACGGCCGTCTGCCCTGGCGCCTACAGCCCGTGTCCCTGTTGTCCACAGCTGGACATTTCCTGGTCAGGGGAACCACCCCATCTCTTGTGGGAGCCCTAAAGGACTCCCACCCCATGGGAGGCCACCCCATGTGGCCTCACACAGGGGGCCAACACAGAATTGCGCCCCCCCCCCCCGGGCTACCGTCATTGACCCTTGATTGACCTGGCGTCACAGGCCAGGTTCTGGGGCCAAGCCCACCTTGGCTGGTGGTGTTGCGTGAGTTCGTAAGAGCCTTGTCCCTGCTTGCTCCCAAATTCAAGGGTGTGTCGGGTGAGCAAGCTGCAGGGTCCGTCACTCCAACCCTGGGCCTCCCGACGGAGTTCCGGGCGCACAGGCTGGGTCCTGCCTTCCGTGTGTGAGTTGGGGTAGCCCTGCGCAACCCATCCTGCTCTCATTTCCTGCCGTTTCTGGAGTGGCTTCGGGAAACGGGATTCCTCAGACACCACTCCCAGATTGCCCTGGGGCGTCGGAAATTCCTCCCTAGAATGTCTGGTTGGTCAGGTGAAGCTGAGAACCCTAAAGGAACCCAAGGTTTCGAAAGAAAACCTTTCACCAACTTGCTCGACTTGGTGGGAGCAGGGAAGAAGGGCTCCGTGTTCAGGGAGTGGAGAGAGAGCGGGCTCTGTCTGCTCTTGCCCATGCACTGCAGTCACGGGCATCCGTGTCTGCAGACTCCTGCCTGGAAGGGGCCGGAGTGCACAGGGGTCAAGCTCAAAGCAGTGCAGACGCGCCCCTGGCAGCCTTGGGTGGCCGTGGATTGGATCGGATTGTGCTCCCCAGTGCCTGGACGTGTTGCTCAGTTTGAATTCAAATGGAAGGTTCTGCAGGCGGACAGGACCTGGGGAACTCGGCCCCTTCCTACTGACTTGTCACAGACCCTCCCCTGTCTGAGGCCCTCACGGGTGCAGCACCGATGGCAGCATGGCTGCCAGCAAGGCTGGTGTTTCTCTGGGTGTCCTGACCCCGACAGCCAGCTCTGCAGTTTCTCTGTGCCCTCCCTCCAATGCGATCCCCACTAATCCCGGATTAGGGGTGATGCTCCGTGCCCGCTAGGCCCAGAGAGCCACAGCTTAGTGCCTGTCCCCCCCCCCGCCCCCCGCCTGTCCTGTTATCTCTCTGCCCTGGCTGGGGAGGAGACCACTTCTCAGCCTGTCACTGGGGAGGTTGGGGACACACCGGACATCATTAATCATATCCAGCATCTTTGTGAAAGGTGGAATTCTCTGTTGAATGGAGACAGTAACTCCTCTCATTCTAAGTCTTACCCAGCTTTGTATTGTAAGAGCAAAAGGAATCCCAAACTCTTCTAGCAAAGCCCCTTCCTTCTCCAGAGGGGAGACTGAGGCCCAGGAGCCGGAGAGCCTTGCCGGGGCTGACCTGGACCCTGGCCGTCACAGTCCATCCGCATCTGCTCACGTTCCCCCGTGGGCAGCAGATTTGACTCGGAGACCCATGTGTCTCCTTAACTGAGGTCCAGCAAGAAAGGATACGAAGGGGCCCTGGCTGCAGTGGCTCCGAGGGTTGGACGCTGTCCCACAAACCCAAAGGTCACTGTTCCGATTCCTGGTCAGGGCACATGCCTGGGTTGCAGGCCAAGACCCTGGTTGCCGGGGGGTATGAGAGGCAGCCGATGGATGTTTCTCTCCCTCTGTTTCTTCCTCCCTTCCCCTCTGTCTAAAAATTAAGTAAATAAAATCTTATTTTTTAAAGAAAGGATGCAAAGGGTTTGATTGTTTAATGTGTCACCCCCAACTACGGGACCCCTTTCCCCTGGAGACCTGAGGATTGAGTGGTAGCTCGTGGAGCCTCCTTTGACTCTGGGTGACCCGTGACTGGGGCAGCCCCGTGAATCCCGACCCTCACTCCGATACTGTTCTTACATTAGACAGGGTGGCGGGCAGGAGAGGCATTGGGGGAGCCATCACTGCGGCGCCAGCTGGCCGGGCAGATGCCAGGTGTTCGGGAGCGCAGGTGAATTGTCTGGAGAGCTTCGGGAAAACGCACACGCCTTCCCCCTCCCTGCAGTTCGGGCTCAGCAGGCTGGTGGGGGTGCAGGGAGCTTCCCCATGCCAGCTTCTCACTAGGGAGAGGCTGCTGGGTCCAGGCCGGTCCTGACGCCAGCTATCAGCTGGTCGCCCAACACCGCCTGCCTCTCCGCTCTGGTGCATCAAACACCGAATTCCGGTCCATCTGACCACAGTACCATCACGGAGAACAGAGACCCCAGACCTGCCTTTCTCTCTCAGGCACTAGATTTGGAACAAATGCCCTGTCACCCAAAAGCAACAGCTGAGGGTTTCCCTTCAGTTCCCCTGCATAACACTGATGTCTACAGAAGCGTCTGCCAGTGACAGTCAGGCAACCTGGTGACGGTCCACACCCCCGCCACCCACCTGGGGGCCTCTGGGTTGCCGTTCCCGCAGCAGCTCACTGGCTGTGGAAGCCAGGCCTTGTGGCCCAGGGACCCTTGCAGGGAAGCTGGACCGTGCTTCCTTCCCTAGGTGGACGCCCACACGTGGGGAGTCCTGACCCCAGAGTGGGGGCTGTGTCCTGGACGTGTCCAGCCATGGGCCGCCCTGACGCTTTTGTTCCCTCAGTCCTTGGCCTCGGGACATTTTTCAGATGGGTGTTCCAAATGCAAATGACCAAGACTGGGACAGTTTGTGGTTTTCAGGGGAAGAAAACAGGAAAGATGCTGCTTGAACTTGGAGCAGGTCATTCACAGCTCAAACTTGCAGATGAGCTTCAGCGATTTAAAATGCAAACCAAGTGACAAGCCTTCATAGCTTTTTTTCCAGTTACATAGTGGCCACAGTATAAGAAGTCAGTTGGCTGGCCCTGGCTGGTGTAGCTCAGTGGATTGAGTGCAGGCCTGCGAACCAAAGCATCGCCGGTTTGATTCCCAGTCAGGGCACATGCCTGGGTTGCAGGCCATATCCCCAGTGTAGGGTTTGCTAGAGGCAACCACACATTGATGTTTCACTCCCTCTCTTTCTCCCTCCCTTCTCCATCTCTCTAAAATAAATAAATAAAATCTTTAAAAAAAAGAAGTCAGTTGGCAAGAATATGAAGGCAACCTTGGGTAAGGGGGGGCACCCTTCACTGTGAGCCCCACCCCCAAACTGGTCTCATTTCTGCTGCTCAAACATTCAGGGTTCTGCCTGTGGGGGCCTTTCCAAGGGTTATTCCTTTTATCTGGAACACTTATTTCACCTTTGTCCTTATTTAACTTCCGTAAACCTTCCAGAAAGAGATCCCTGGTCCTTCCATACTTCCAGGATGCTGCCCCACCCCCGCCCCCACCCCAGCAGCCTGGGCTGGTTCCTGAATCAAATGGCAACTGGTGGTCACTTGTGTCTCACGGGATTGTGAGCTAGTCCAGAGCCCTGTCTGTCTGGGCACAGCCCACCTGGTGCCCAGTGTAAGGCTGTCTCAGAGCAGGCGGTGGGGGGTGGGGGTGGGGGTGAGGGTGGGGCCTGTTAGAAGCTTGTTACGGGAAGGGGGAGACATGGCGGCCAGGCGCGTCTCCCCAGCTGGACGCAGGCCTTCCCCGCTTGGGAGCCAGCCAGGCCTGGGGAAAACAAGCTGTTTAATGTGCTTTGTGTTCTTCTGAAGAATCAACATGAAAGGAGGCTGGCTCACTGATGACTCTGCAAATTGTCCATAGGAAACCCAGGAATAGGCACCAGGTCAGGTTGTTTCTTGCACCCTCAACCGTTCAGGGAAAGGAAGAGTGGGTGCAGTGTTTTCACTGAAATGCAGCCAAAGCTAACTTGACTCCTGCCTGCTCCTCTTGGGCTGCTGAGTTGGGAGGGGACTTCTTGAGCCGCTTGGAAGAGCTGT